AGAGAGAGAGAGAGAGAGAGAGAGAGAGAGAGAGAGAGAGAGAAACTAAACTGGAAGCCTGAGTTTGGTGTTGCCTCTTGAAATCTTATGAATGGATTACTAGCAGCTGAGAGCCAGGAGAGTCCTATAGGGGATGCAAGATCACCCACACACTCAGGGGGAGAAAAGCAGGCGGAACCCTTTCTGATGTCCTATTTCCCCTTCCTGAAATGAATGGTAGGAGATGTTTTTCTGAGGGTCCTTGGGGTGGCAAGGGAGAGAGGGTGCAAGGGGAGGGGTTGACTTCTCTTCTTGCTTGAACCTCTTTTTTTTCCTCTGAAGCTAAGCCATCTATCTCTTCCTAATATCCTCTCTCTCTCTCTCTCTCTCTCTCTCTCTCTCTCTCTCTCTCTCTCCTCCCTCCCTTCCTCTCCCTCTTTCCTCCCTGGCTCTCTTCTTCCCTCCTCTTCTCTGTTTTTCTGGCTTTCTCTAACCCCCACCCCCAGTCTCAATTTCTATTCTTGATCTGCTTCAAGTGGTGAAAACTGAGTCAGAAAAGTGCATGGAGCTAAGGAAGTTATCAAAGAAAAGGGACAGTCGAGGACCTAGGGGTGTCTGCTCAGTAGTGTCCACGTGCTTGAATTGAGAGCTTCTTTGGGGACTTGCTTTGAGGCTCTATTCCATGCTATATGAGGAAGGAGGGTGCACGTGGGATGGGGTGCACAGGACACAACATTTTAAAGGCAGTTAAGTCAGCTATCAACTGGAAGAAAAGAGTTCAGAGAGATGAGGAGACTCAGGGTGAAGGAAGGACCCTGATTTGACTCCCGAGCATGCGGGCTGTCTGAGTCAGACAGGAGCAGCAGAGGCAGTGATTTTAAGAGTGTAAGTGATTTTTCTTATTACTTGAAAGAAGGGCTCAATGCATATTTATACTTGTTTTATACTACCTGTGGCAAGCATGCCTGCATTCTCTGCATGTCCACGTGTTTGTCCAGTGTGTTCTGTGTATGTGTGTGTTCCTGTAAGGGATGGGAAGCCTTTAAGACTAACACTAAGGCAAACAATGCAGAGGTTAAACATAGGGTTTCCTCCCCCCACCTTCCCCATTCATTTCAGATCAATCAAAGAATAGCTGCCTCGGTTTAGCTGTTCATTTGTGTAAATGACTTATTTTGAGCACCTCGTTTGTTTATTTGTTCACTCAGCATATGGTGACTTTTACTAACTTTAGACTGAGAAACTTCTGAGAGAGAAAGGATGTCTATATGCTAGAAGCACACGGTGTTTCCAGTTAGTGCTTCTCTCGGCAAGGTAATTGATTTCTCCTTTCCTCCAGTGTCCAAGAGGAAGTGAATTTATTATTGTCCTTTTAAATTTGAAAAGATAGAGTAAAATAAAAAAAATAGAGGAGGCTTGTGATATATCAAAAGGAAGAGATGTGAATGGTCTCCGAAAGGCTAGCTAGTGTTTATTGACCAGGTCCATTCAAAGTGTGTGTGTTTATGTGTGTGTGTGTGTGTATGTGTGTGTGTGTGTGTGTGTGTGTGTGTGAGAGAGAGAGAGAGAGAGAGAGAGAGGCTACACACAGAAAGGCATGCTCCAAAACAGTATTGATCGTTCTATATTGATTGTGTAGGCTGCGGCTGCAGAGAGAGAAAGCCTGTGATGTTTACTGGGGAAACCAAGAGGAGCTTCTGTCCCTTGTGCCTCAGAAAGGTGGCGGGGGGGGTTGCTCAGGGGAAAGGAGGTGATGGGGAGTAGGTGGAGTGATGTACCAAACTTATTAGCTTTGACATCATCATTGTCTTTAAATAAAAAAAACCCAAGGAGATAATTATAGACAGACAGAGAGAGAGAGAGAGAGAGAGAGAGAGAGAGAGAGAGAGACAGAGACAGAGACAGACAGAGAGAGAGAGAAGGGGGCAGCAAGAGAGATCAGAGGGAACAGGTCCCTTGATGTATATGCAGTTCATATTGGTCTTTTCGTCCATCTTTAGGGACCCACCAGTCTCTCCGAAGGTGAAACCAAGGGCTCCCAGACTCATTTGATCAGGAGACCAGCAGACTGGCAGCCAGAGAACTTCACAGAGACTTGCAGCATACCAACAAGTTGGACGGGAATTAAAACACTCTCTTCAATAGTCAACAACCCTGAGTGCCACGCTGCAGGACTGCTCACCTACCCAGGCAGGCTGGAAGCTGCATGGACACCTGGCTGAGGACATCTAAGGAGAGAAAGTTAAGTACCACCTTGGATCTTTATGCCCTCAGATGATTATATTATTATTATTATTATTATTATTATTGAGAATAAGCATCAAATTGTGTCTCAGCCTAAAAGTTTTTTTCCTAGCAATTTACTTTAAGTTGAGCATATTGTGGGTGATGGGCTCTAAAAAGAGAGTCTAACTCCTAGAGAAAGGGAGAAGATACAGAAGAGATCATTAGAGAATAAGGTTGTTTTGAATGACCAGCTGGGGTGGTGTGTATCTGAGAGAATTTGGCTTACGTCATACACTCTCTTCTCTTATCAGTGAGGAGAGGAGTTACTGAAGGAAGAAAGGAAAACCTGAGGTCTCTGGGAGGAGATTCAAAGTAAGAACACTTAACTTCATTCTGAAGGACAGAAATCAAGCAAGAGAGGTCAAGGAAGAAGGTGAGAGAAGCCAAAAGTTACAGAAGCCACTGGGGCTGGCTGAATCCCCAGGACAGGTAGCCAGAAGAGGCATTCTTTTGGGGCCACTTGAGAAAGTTTGGCTTGTGAATCAAACAGTTGCCCTGGTGACTTCGAATCCATAGCTGGTTGTCTTTCCTTCTTCTCTCCATCATTCTTGTGTGGGACCCAGAAGCTGACCTCGGGTTCAAAGGATTAAGCTGAGGGAGATATGATGTGTTGGAAGGTCCTGAGAATAAGCCTGGTGGTCCTGGCTGGGTGGACATTCAGTACCACCAACTCAGAGCTGGGCTGGACACGCAAGAAATTCCTGGCCCAGAAGGAACACCTGAACCAGGTGCTGTTGGAAGGGGAACGCTGTTGGCTGGGGTACAAGGTTCGAAGACCTAGAACTGCTCCACAGCGTCATCTCTTTGGGGTCTACCCAAGCCGCCTCGAAAACTACCTAAGGTCCTATCCTGTGGGGACGCAGCAAACTAAGTATGCAGAATGGAGTCAGCGAAGCACAGAGAGACAGGCTCTGAGTGGTGTTCATCCAGACTTGACTGAAAACCCAGCAGGAGCGAGGAGAGAGGCTGAGCAGCCAGCTGCCCCGTGGGTAGGGGATGGTCCTATTGGGCAATCGCAGCTGCTGAGAGATGATGACACTTATCTTGGCAAGGGAAGATCTAAGGAGGCTCTAGGTGAGTCTGCAACTCGGGGAAGCTCAGAAACTGCTGTCTCCACCATTGCCACCTTTGCATACCAGAAGGGACCCACAGCAGAGACCCAGAGGAAGGGCCAATCCAAGTCTAGGCTTCCTCGCCAAGTGCAGAAGAGGCAGGCAGAAGATATGACCAGAGACCCCCAGAATACCCCTCAAGATTTTCAGCTTCGGCCTAAAGACCCCCTTAAGCACGGAGATAGTGACAGTCCATTGGAGGGCACCATCCAAAATGGTGGAGGGGCCTCTGCCCAGGGAGTAGAGACCTTTAACCCCCAAGGAGGATTGCCTGTACTGTATTTCTCTGGGAAGAGGGAGCGGCTGTTGCTGCGTCCAGAAGTGCTGGCTGAGATTCCCCGGGAGGCGTTCACAGTGGAAGCCTGGGTGAGACCAGAGGGAGGACAGAGCAATCCAGCCATCATTGCAGGTAATGTCCTATCCTACTCCTGGGTTTTCTCGGGTCCTGGGGGTGTGGCTGGCTTCATTTCTGTTGTGGGTACACATAGAGAATAGAAAGGGGGAACAGGCTAAAGCAGGAAAGCTAGGAAAGCTTGGTCAGAGGGGCTTTGTGGGTGTGGGGGTTATTTATCAATGCAGAAGTAACATAGGCACCATCAAAGGGAAGATGACTCCTATCCAAGACATCTTTATCGTGATCAATTTCTCGGAGTTCTATTCACTGTGCTTGTACTTTAGGAGACCTCCGTTTAGATCTTTTCCCTTTTTAAAGGGAACAGACTTAGAGTTTTTGTCAAGGAGGAAGGGGGGCGGGTCATACTACTTCTCATAGTCTAGCATGGGATACCCAGGCACCTCTGGAAAGCAGACAACAATCCAAGGATGGTAGTAGTGAATTATGCCCAAAGGGTCCAAACAGCAAGAGAACAGGCTGCCACCCGGGAACGAGGAAGAAAAGTAGCACCTGTTCTGTACCCTGGATCCCTTTCTCTTGACCTCAGATCTGCTGGAAAAGGTGGACACTTGCAAGCCAGCATCCTGACTTCTAGCCCTGGCTATTGTTACAAAGACCTAAATATGAAACCTTGTTTAACACAGCTAACTCTATAATGTTAGTCAGAGGCGTTTATTTGGGCTTGTAACCTGTGTTTATTTTGATTAACAGAGAGATCTAGAATGACAAAGAGCTGGGTTTGGAGCCGTTGCTTTTCTTTTCCTATCTGGAGAGGTCGATTTCAGGCAGGGGTGAGGAAAGACTGTTTTATCACCTTGGTGTCTCCTTATTCTTTTTGACACTCCACCAAAAGAGAGTGGGGACAAATATGCAGATGAATGTCACAAGGAGACCAAGTTACTTTATGCACTAACTAAAAGGCAACCAAATACTTATCAGAAAAAATAATGGCATCAATCTGGATTAACCACATACCCTTTTCTGTTAGTTCCATTACATTGATGGAGAAACTGAGGCAATAAGAGGCATGTCAGAGACAGGCTGAGGGCAGGGAGAACAATTCAGGAGTTCATGAATCATTTGATATCTCCTCAACAAACAAACAAAAACCAAAACAAACTAACCAAACAAATAAACCAACAAACCAACAAGCTAACCAAAAAAAAAAAAAAAAAAAAAACAAACCCCAAACTAAACCAAAATAATGACAACAAAAAAACCACTCAGGTTTCTGAGTGCCTCCAAATAAATTGCAGAGTAGGCAAAGCAATCTGGAGGGAAGGAGCGTCTTCCCGTGGGGTGTCTCTGGAACATCCTTGTGGACACTGTGTCTCCCCCTCTTTGGCTGCGATTTCTCGTTTGGAATCTGGGATTCCCAGACACTGAGCACTCTCCAGTCATGTGGCTTTGCTTTATTTTAGTTTTGGGTGGGAGACAGGGTGAGAGAAGGGGCCAGGCTGTAAGCTAGGTGGGGGCAGAGAAAGACGAGAAGGAAATCCTTATTCTGGGGCCAAAATGGAAGAAATAATGAGATGATTATCTGATCGGAGTTGGCAGCTTCACAGTTTCCCCCAGATGACATCTTCGTGCTGCCTAGTCTGGCTTCCTAGTGCCCATCTGCCAGGGAGCCTGTGAGCTTGCAGTCTAGCTTGAGACCCACACGAATCTGCCTATGCTTCCTCCTGCAGCAGCAACATAGAGACCCGGGATCAGTTCCCTGGCTGTGAAGTCTGAGAGAAGAATCCAAAAGGAATATATGTGGGAGACTATTGCTTGGGGTTATTAAAGTCCAACCTTGGAAAACAGGAGCATAGCACCTGACCTCTGTCTTTTACCTCTTCAGTCCTTCTGTCTCACCTCCTTCAAGAAGAGCTATGGCAAGGTTGGGTTACAGTTCCCCACTCTTTGCTTCACCTCTGGCATGTTTATCCTTATCTCCACGTGCCTCCCTATCTTGCCTGTCTGTCACCAGCCACTGTCTCCATACTGACACAGCACATATTCAGATCTTCCCGTGCCCATTGAACCCTCCTCTCTTCTCGGAGCAAGTAAAATTGGGCAGTAAATCGTTTTCAGCAATTTACCTTCTAAGGATTTTTCCCCCTCAAATCGGGCTCTCGTGGTGTTCTGGGACTTCCCCTTTAGGTCTGCTTGTAAAAGGTGGAGAGCAGATGCCAATGAAGCCTCTTCCCCTCCCCCACCCCCATTCTATCCCCTCTCTTTCTTCAGACTTGTGCTCAGCCCAAATTATCAAGTGAGGACAAATGTCCTTGGGAGGCAGGGATGGATAGCAAGGCCTCAATTCTTTGGGCTCAGAAAGTAGACTGTTTAGGATTTAGAATCCATGTGTACCCATTGTCTGTGCTGCTGCCATTTCCCTTGTGAATAACATGGCTAAGGATCATGAGGGTACCAAAATCAAGTCTCAGGTAATACAAGCCTCTACTTTGAGTGACTTGACTCTCTTCGCACAACTTTACAGCTCTCAACAATCCATCTTCCTTTCTTCTGCTGGCATGGGCCCTCAAGATGGTGTGCATCTGTTCCTAGTATGGTGGGAATTGAGTTACACAGAGTGACAAGGTGGAGTCAAGTTGCTGGGAGTTACACACAAGCCCGAAGCTGTACTTCTGTTGCTCCTCTGAGGGTGGACCAAGACGTGATTCTCACTCTGCCAGTAGATTTCAAACCTCAGGCTCTGCCTACCTAATTATAATCAGCTTTCAAGTCCTCTACCTACCATGCTTGGGGTAGCAGAGACCTCAAACAATTTAGTCAATACCAGTCGCGGCAGAAGAAGCCCATACCCACAGCTATGGGACCTTAGGGAATAGTTTTAATACTGGACACTAGGTGGCAGTGTTGTCTTGTGCACAGGAGACGAGGAAGCCACAGAGTTGGGAATGTCTCTAGTTTCCTTGAGGGCTGTCCTGTCCCAGCCTCTGGGCTGTAATTTAATCACCTTCTCCCAAAATGTTGTTGGTAGGCATCCCTCAGGGTCCACTTCATAAGTCTTTTTCTTTTTTCCTTTTTTTTCAAAGGCCTGTCTGGAAAGCTAAAGCGGCTTTTTTTTTTTTTTTTTAAAGTAGAGTTGTGACTAACTTGTAGCTCTAGCAAGCACTGAAGAAAACAAAATCAGCTAGAATTACCCTCTCCCTGCACTCTAAGTTCCCGCATTCTTCTGAAACAAGTCAGACTCCAGAATGAGTTGCAGGAATGCTTTTATTGAGGATTGAGGGCAACGCAGGGTACACAAGCTTCAGGTGTGAGGGGACTCTTCTGCTCATCCTCTGGGCTTTCTAAAAGGTAGACCACTCTTCAAGTTGTCCATTTCCCCAGAGTTGGAGCAGACCAGTGGCAGCAGGGAGGACTGCTCCAGTCAAAGGTCTGGCACTCTGAGGCTATGTGGCAAGCTAGGAGTAGCTTGAGGTCAGGAGCCCATTAGGTTGGGCCATTAGAATTTAGTGTTTAAATAAGCCAACTTCTGTCCTGTTCTGGTGTGGACTCTTTAAGGTCCAGTGCATAACCCTGAGACCATCTGAGCCTTTCCTACCACTTCAACTTCCGTTCCTCCCCTTCAACTCCGACATACACAAAAGAGAACATTTTAACAGGTTCCTCCGCACCCGTAATTGATTTCAAATGTTCCCTGAAGTCGCCCAACTGAGTAACCACCTGCAGCTCTGTGCTGTAGGACTCTGAGTCATTAAATCCATGGTAGGTTGGATCCCAGGTTCAGAATTCTTCATCCAACAAATATTTATTGAGTCCCTTGCCCTGCAAAGCGCAGCAAGTCATGGAGGGGAACACAAAGGTGTCTGAGAAACAGTCCTTGACATGAAGGCAAGTTTGGGACTTCTGAGTGTCCATGCTTTACATGTCCTAGTGTAGAGTCTTGGGGCAGACAGACGTGGAATCAAATCTTTCTGTGACACATACTGGGACAACTGTCTCTAGAAATCTTTTTTTAGCTTTTTTTCCCTGAGTTATGTTTTTATCAAACTGAAAATTAAATGGAAATACATATGCATATGTAAATAAATATATATGTGTGTATATATATGATTTTGTACATATGTATGTATATGATTCTATTTGAAATAAAGTAGGAAAAAAATTCCTGAACAAAAGACAAATAAGGAGCAGTCCTGGAGAGTCGGGTAGATAAAGTGCCCATCATAAAATTTGGCCCATGAGGCTTATTTACTTAACAGTGACATGAAAGGTATTTATCAGGAGATATCCAAACTAAATTAATTTCTAATTTAAATCTAACTTTTCATTACCAGAGATATTAACTTCAATTCCTTAGGAATTTACTCTGATAACTTATAAAATGGGAATGGCTCTAATTAGTTATTGTTTTTTCTACAATATGGTCTCAAGATAAAAACTGTAGATGAAAGAGTCCAAAGGACCCATTTACTACATTAAAATGTTTCATCTGTTCTCTTTATTTGAGTGGCACTATTTCAAATCAGTTGGGCAATGGTGCTAAAATTTCTATTTTATTTTTCTGAGCTGTAAGTCCTGTTGAATATCTTCTTGAAATTTGTGCTGACTTCATAGAAAAATGTACGTCATTACCTAGATTTTCTGGTAGCCCAAGTCTGCTGCCATTGGGGCACTGTTCAGAGGCTATCACTAGCTTTTCTGTGAGTGACATCTATGGAATGAGGCTTCAGGGTAAAGAGTTCTGACCACAGGGAACATAGAGTTTTACAGAATACACAATGGCCTAGATGTAAAGAGACCTCAGTGTAGCTGTCTTTATCTCATGGGCTTACTCAGGCAAAGGGCTGCATCAGTATCTTTCCCTAAAGGCAGGGCTGTCTGTCCTGTCTTTTGCTTCCCTACACTCAGTGATGGTCAAATCAGAGTGTTTGTCCTTATCAGACCCTGAGGAATCACCTTGTTCCTCTCTACACCCCCTCCTGGATCAGGACTCAAATGTTCAACAATGCTGTAGTGACCCAGCTGGCACAGAGCTGTTTATCTGAGGTCTCATGGTTGCC